TTATAGATAGTGATTCATCGCTAGCTCTTGGACTAGTAAGGAGGATGAGGCGTGCGGGGATCGAAAATCCATAGGCGTGTATACGTAAAAGGCAACAAGATGTAGAAAATATGGAAAAAATATAATAAAACATAACATCTATTATTTTTAGAGGTTTTATCGAGAAAACTTCAAAAATATTTTAGTAACATTTTGTTTTTAAATTTTAAGTGTTTTCTATAAAACGATGCCCTCTTGGGCATCGATAACCCACCACCACCCGGCTTACGCCGCCGCAAAATATTGTAATGTTTACTATTAATATATTTATTTAAGTAGGTACTTACATATTTTATAATAATTATCTCACGAATATTATCACTGTCACACTTTCACTTCACTGCCACATAATCACTTCACTATTAATATATTTAAATACTTACATATCACATTATTCACATTATATATTTCACATATCACTGTTGCTATCACTATCACTAGAATCATCTTCACCCAAATGAATAATGACTGGTTCTAGTGATAGTGATAGCAACAGTGATATGTGAAATATATAATGTGAATAATGTGATATGTAAGTATTTAAATATATTAATAGTGAAGTGATTATGTGGCAGTGAAGTGAAAGTGTGACAGTGATAATATTCGTGAGATAATTATTATAAAATATGTAAGTACCTACTTAAATAAATATATTAATAGTAAACATTACAATATTTTGCGGCGGCGTAAGCCGGGTGGTGGTGGGTTATCGATGCCCAAGAGGGCATCGTTTTATAGAAAACACTTAAAATTTAAAAACAAAATGTTACTAAAATATTTTTGAAGTTTTCTCGATAAAACCTCTAAAAATAATAGATGTTATGTTTTATTATATTTTTTCCATATTTTCTACATCTTGTTGCCTTTTACGTATACATGCCTACGGATTTTCGATCCCCGCATGCCTCATCCTCCTTACTAGTCCAAGAGCTAGCGATGAATCACTTTCTATATTTTCGGCCGTCGAGTATAGACGACCGTACACAAAAAAGTTCTTATCACAGATCCAATGAAGTTGCAATATAGACCACCATTTTAGAAGTGACGTCATATACGCCAAATAATAGGCAACCCCATAGTATACATTGTCATGAAGAATTTCTCAGTATTTTTACTAGATAGATTTATGTAGGTACTTTAGACATAAGTGCCAAAAAATGTCTTCTTTGTCATGACCTTAAATATCGTGATATTCGGGCAATATTAGAAATATTTAAGAAGTTTCAAACCCCAAGTGACAAACTGAAAGAATTACATAATTTAAATTTTTAAATTTATAGAATATTGACTTTTATAGTAATTAATAAATTAAAATTATATCAATGTTACTGAGCATGCGCATTAAAGATGATTTCATGTAAGCGAAGTAGCCTCGCAACGGATATCATTCAAGAAAAGTTTGGTTGTGGTTAAGAGTACGTCTATAATAAACCACATGAAGAAAAAAAAACACTCGATAAACAGACTGACACAGCAAAGCACCAAGAAAAACAATAAAAAATACTTGGTAGTACTAGAAAATGCCAAGAATAAACAAAAGAAGAGAAAATACGCTAACGATGACAGCGGTGATATATTAACGAGATTAGGAAAAACACGACTACTGTTAAATTTTTACTTATTTAAATTTAAGAATATTATTTTATATCGTTTTTTGTAAGTTTTACGCACATTATTGTATCTATTTTACGAAACACGTGTTGGCTGTTCTTAAATACTTCCTTCCTCCTTGGCACAAAAAGTTAATTTGAAATTGTTCANATTTAAATTTTTAAATTTATAGAATATTGACTTTTATAGTAATTAATAAATTAAAATTATATCAATGTTACTGAGCATGCGCATTAAAGATAATTTCATGTAAGCGAAGTAGCCTCGCAACGGATATCATTCAAGAAAAGTTTGGTTGTGGTTAAGAGTATGTCTATAATAAACCACATGAAAAAAAAACATTCGATAAACAGACTGACACAGCAAAGCACCAAGAAAAACAATAAAAAATACTTGGTAGTACTAGAAAATGCCAAGATTAAACAAAAGAAGAGAAAATACTCTAACGATGACAGCGGTGATATATCAACGAGATCTCACCTGAATATGAGCCTATTCTTTCCGAGCATGAGCATTAGGAAAACACGACTAATGTTAAATTTTTACTTATTTAAATTTAAGAATATTATTTTATATCGTTTTTTGTAAGTTTTACGCACATTATTGTATCTATTTTACGAAACACGTGTTGGCTGTTCTTAAATACTTCCTTCCTCCTTGGCACAAAAAGTTAATTTGAAATTGTTCACTTCTGTAATATCTCTATGTAAATATTTAACAAGGGTCAGATTCGATATATACAACTTCAACTGACAATTTATTGCGGGTTGCCTAAATATGTGACCGTCACACTAAAAGAGTCTATTCTGTAGACCAAGCAAAATTTATCGATGAAAAAATAAAGAAACAATTTTAATGAAAGTCTCAAAAAATAATCTAGTTAGTGACAAAAATATGTTTTAAATTGTAATTTTGACATTCTGTATTTTGAAAAAGAGGTGAGTGAAGAATATAACGGCGTAAAGAAGTCCCATTATCTTGGCACAAAGAATTTGTAGTTAATGGTTTGACTTACTTTCTTCTGACACTCTGAATGTTCACAACGTAGCTACATTTTCCGCAGTTATCTCTTTTGAATCTCTAAGGATTTCCTTATTTACAAAAAAAAAACTTCTGTAACAAACTCAATCAACAAGAAAACGATAGGGTAGATAAGCCGCGCCAATTCCGCCCGGCCCTATAATCCCATTAACAGATCGATAAGCGAGATTTAATTACCTGGGCGATGATATGGAGTGGTACGGAACCTCGGTGTTGTGGCCAATAAGATCCTGATTGTTCTCGACGATCCCCCATGGGGCTATTCCAAGGGTATTCACTCTTCCGGTCCTTTGAGATCTCTCTAGCAGCAGAGCATCCCCTACATGCCTGGTAACGCCTGAAAAAAAAATCCTTAGTAAGGCTCAAAGCTAAAGACACCCTCAACTCCAGAAATTTCAATAGGTTTCTTTATATAGATGTTAAATGTTGAAGTATTTGATATATTTTTTTACAAATTGTTAGAAAAACATACATTACATGATCGCCTTAGGCAGAACTCAATTTAAGTTAGGTATTAAAAGAGAATGCTCTAAACCGAGTTAACATAGTCAGCTGATTTAAGTAAAATTGTTTGTTTTTCATTTAAATTAGCTAACCAGAAGATTTTCTGCAAACCGCAATTTGCGACTATATGAATACTGCTTTAGGCGACGGACGGTTACACTGGACGCGAATTCGTACTATAGTCCAACCAAATTACACTTGGAGAAAAAAAAATTGTCACCTGGACTTTTATAAGTGGAAATGGTAAAAGGGCTTATAATAAACCTAGAAAAAATAAATGCGTGAGCAGGGGCGGCGGAGGGTTGATTTGGGGGGTTGAAAAGTTATGAAAAATTGTATCATTGGGATTTCTGGCGAAAGTTGACGTCAACCAAAAAAGTATCCAATACAAAAATTGTAGATCATGCAAAAATCTATAACTTTTGTAGAGGTCGATTTTTACATAACCTCAAAATTTCCGAGAAAATTGCGAAAAACAGATTTTTTTCTGATTTATCGTTTTTTATTTTTCATTTCCGCAAAAATAATTTAATTTTGACGAAACCTGGTGAAAGTATACCTTTATCTGTCTTAAATAACCTCAATTTTTTTTAGATAAAAAAATCAAGAAGTTTCTGAGATATTCATTTTTTTCGGAGTGAAACACTTTTTTTTCAAAGAAAAATTCTACTTAAAAAAATCATCGTACAGAGTTCCGCCAGTAAGCATTTTTTTCGTTTTGACATACTTTTTGGTGAAATAAAAAAATTTGTAATCACAGTTAAAAAACATGCTCAAAAATGTAAAAAAATAAAAGTGACTTGCAACAATGAATTTTTCAGTAATTGTTGATAATTTGTTTAAATTAAAACGTTCAAAAAATGATTACACCATTCAATTCTACGGAAAAAAAATAAAGAAAAACTGTGTCTCATTGTTTGACCCAAAACTTTATTTTTGTACAGTATTGCTATAAACATGTAAATCGAATTACAAATGCACAAATGATAAATTATCTCTGGATGATTTGAGATTTTAGCAATACAAAGTAAGTATTAACTGCAAAGTCTACCGTTGACACGAAATCCGAAAACCCGAAGTTTTACAAAATCGTTTTATTTTTTTCTGGCTTTATTTGAAAACGAATTTTAAATACATTGCATATTTACATTGCCACTTTTTTCACTCTGTCCAATGGTGTCAACATTTTTGCAATCCGACGTTTCGTCTTCGAGGGGCCATCATCAGATTAATTTTTTAAAATATATCGCTGCTATTTTTATGACAAAATCTAGTCAATTTTAATTCTGTATTAGATGATATTACTATTGTAATGTAATAAAAAAGGTTTTTAGCTATCATTAAAAAATTTTCCTGAGTACGGCTCTGAACGCTTTCAAAATACCT